GTCTTCCAGCTCCGGTGGCTTCTTCTGCAGGGCGGGTTTGGGGGCCGTGGGACGAGGGGGGGGCTGCTTCTTCATCTCCCTGCCGGGTGGGGGGGACAGAGGGGGCTCAGCGGGGGGGTCCTCACCTCCCATGGGGCTCCCCACCTTCCCCAGGGCCACCTCACCTCCCCTGGGGCCACCCCACGGAAGCCAAAGCCTGGAGACGCAGCCCAAAAGCACCCAAAAAGGTGCTGCCCACCTCCCCAGGGGGAGGGTGTCACACCAGGGTGACCCCCCCCAACCTCTCCCGTCTCCTCCAGGGGACACGGCCACCACCTACTTCTCCAGGATCTGCTGCCTGTTGGCCTCGGCGGTTTGGCAGGCGGCACGGGCCTTCTCCAGGAGTTTGGCGGCTTTTCCCTCCAGGTCGGTGTAGAAGTCCTTCCCCTCCTGAGATTTCTTCATCAGGTCCTCGTAGGCTTCGTAGGAGGCCACCAAGGTCTGAACGGTGGTGTTCCACCTGGGGACACGGGACAAAGGGGCTTGAGCAGGGAGGTAACGCCAGGCCAAAGCTCCTGGAACCTGGGGAACCCACCAGAACCCACCTGGGATGGCCACCGGGAGCAGGACAAAGCCACCAATGGCCTCCCAACAGTTGGACATGACTAGAGAAGCCAGCAGTGACCCCACACCTCTCCTTGGGGTGACACCCAGACCCCACCAGGGAACACTCTGCCCTATGCCTTGACCCACACACCACTCACTTGTGCTCCACCTCAGCCAGGGCCTTGCGCACGGCCGCGTATTTGACGTTGGCGTCCGTCAAGGCCTTCAGGACGTTCTCCTGGGCAGCCAGGTTCTGCTCCAGGTAGACCTTGATCTGGTCATACTTCTTCAGCTGCTCCTCAAAGAGTTTCTGGAAGAAAGAGGAGGATCTGAGGGGCCACAGGAGGCCGGGGAGGCTCAGGGGCGGGTTGGGAGGTGGCAAAGCTCTTGCTGCAGCCCTGATGGGAATATGTGACATGTGAAAGGACCCCCCAGACACTGCCTGGTGCCTACCTTCATCTCGGAGCGGTCGGTGGTGACCAGGGAGGTGGTGATATCGTCCTTCTGGATCATCTCCCGCAGCTGCTGCTCCAGGGACATGCGCTGGTCCCTCATCTCCTGCACCTTGGCCAGGATTCGCTTGAGGTTCTGCAGCACCTGCTTGTCGTCTTGGGGGACAGGGAGGGATGAGTGGTCACCTCAGACCCCTCCGAGCTGGGCCAGCCCCCCCTGGGGACGCAGCCAGCCCCCCCTGGGGACGCAGCACCACTCACCTTCGGTCAAGGTGGGCGAGGGCAGCGCGGCCCGGACCTGCTCCAGTGGCCCACTGAGGAGACGGAGGTTACCAATGTGGAGGTTCATGGCTTTGTGGAGCTCGGTGTTGGTGAAACTGGCCTTTTCGTGCACCTCCATGTACTTGGAACACTCCTTGCTGACCTCGGCCAGCCCCGGGGACAACGATGATGATGATGGGGGAGACCCCTGAGGTGGTGGGACCTTCCCAAGCAGCTCCTGAAGCTTCCGCTCCTGAGCTTCGTCCTCCTCCAGGAGGTCTCGGATCTCCTTCAGGGAAGCCTCCACGTCGGTGAAGACCCCAGAGAGCACTGTGCAGGAGAGACACGGAGGCTGGCACTGAGCCACCACCTCTGGGGACTCCTGGCTACCACCTCCAAGCTCTCCTGGCCCCACCTGCCCCAAGCAGAGCAGCCTGAGGAACAAATCTGGCCATGGGAGACCAGAGGAAGGAAGGACACAACAGCCCAAGCACCTGGGAAGGGGCGTTCAGGGCTTGTTTGTGCTGGGGAGGTTGCCCACAGTGGGCTCCAGGTAGCCCATGGGCAAGGGACAGGGTGGCCACGGCCCACCAGTGGGGTGACAGGGTGACACTGAGGATGTGGCACCCCCCACCACTGGCCAAAAGGAAAAAAAACAAACTTTGGGATTCAGGAAATTGTATCAGAAAAGAACCAACCGTTCCCAACGTCCTCGTGCCTGTCCCCAGGGCCAGCCCAGACCTCCCCAGTCTCCCCTCCCAGTATGTCCCAGTGTCCCTTACCCTGCATGGACTGGACCAGGTTCTTGACGGTGTCGGGGCGCACGCTGAGGGCGGCGCATTTCTCCATCAGGATGGGGGGGATGTGGTTGTACATGTCCAGGTTGTCCACGGTCTCGGGGTCCAGCTGCATGGAGTCCATGAACTGGCTACAGGTTGGAGAGAACAAGCCCCTGAGCAGTGGTAGATACCAACCCTGACCTCCCTGTGGGTCCCCCACCCCAAACCATGGCCAGCTCAGGGGGGTATCACCCCCCATGGCCCGAGGAGGGTGAATTTGGGGAGCAGTGGCTGGGACTGGAACCCGCTGAGGGACGGGGTGTGCCCCAAAGCTGGGCAAACTGGGATTTGATGGTGCTCAGGGGATGTTCCTGGGGTGGGAAACCCAGTGAGGGGACAATCAGGACACCCCCAGAGCTGCAAATTCCGGGGGGGAACTGCTGGGATCCCCCCGTTCAGGTGGGGATCACACTTACTCCAACACTTCGTTCTTGGCTTCGATCTTGGCCATCACGTCCCTCAGCAGTTTGGCCTTTTCCTCGCTGCGACGGAGGAGAAAAAACATCAAATAGTCCTCCAAACTCCAAACCTCCACCATAAATCCCAAGCGCCCCCAAGCCCTTTGAGAATCAGGTGGAGCTTCATCCAACCCTTTGGGACCAGCTCCAGCTGAGACACGGGGACAGGAGCCCCACACGAGGACAATTCGGGGACGTTTGGTGGTTCCCCAAGGAAATCTGGGGCTGGTTGGGTCCCCAGCAACTCCCTTCAGCCTGAGGGGACCTCGTTGGGCTTGGGGCTGGAGATGTGTGGCCCCAAGCTCCACGTCCACCCGCCGCAGCTCGGGACACACCTGTAGAGGGACGAGGCCTCGTGGGCAGCCATGGGCACCAGTTTGGCAAAGATATCAGGACCAGTGACAGCCGGATCCGTGGGGTTGACGGGGAGGGCTTTGACCAACGGGGCACCTGGGGGGAGTCAAAGACACAACACACCCCTGAAACCTCCAGGAAAACCTTGATTATTCCCAAGATGGATCCTCCCGCCCCACACCTTCATGCCTAGCAGATGCCAGATGACGGCACGAAGCCCCACCAGCCCCAGAGCCCCGTGTGTCACCCTGTGTGTCCCTCTCCCATCAGTTGGCAGGAGAAGACACTGCCCACCCTCACCTTTGACGGACTGCAGGGTGTCCAGGGCAGGCACAGCTTCGTGGTAGATGAAGTCATTGTCCTTTTTGGCCGAATTATACCTAGAAATGACAAGTGACATCACGTTGGGGAGGAGCAGATGGCACCCCAGCCCCCTGAGCTCACTCCCGGTGGGGTTGGGCCCTGGATTTCTTGGTTTCACTTCAGGGAGAATGAAGAACAACCTCTTGAGAGCCTTCAGGCAGCACCAGGCACTTGGCTCTGAACCTCAGGGGACACTGGGGACAGTCCCCTGGGCTGCTCTGGCCACCAAGGCCTTTGTGACCCCCCGAGAGAAGCAGGAGGGTCACCTCCAGGGGTGCCCCATGCAGGGACTCACTTGCCACCGATCACATCCATGGTGAATCTCAGGGCTTCCTGGACGGTTTCTGGCTGGCCCTACAGAGACAAGAGGGAGTTGGCACAGGCAGGAAACGGGTCTTGTTGCCACGGTGGCCCACCACAGCCCTGCTTGCCATGGCCACAGCCCAAGCATGCCCAGAAGCCAGCAGCAGCTGGCTTTCCCCTGAAGCCCTGGTAGATCAAGCTGCCAGGAGATCCCAGAGCCTTGGGCTGGGCTGGATGTCCCAGAAGGGAAGCAAAGCAATGCTTTGGGAAGCCACCAGAGCTTTGCCAACCTACTCAACAAGGAAAAAACTTCTAAACTGACACCAGTTGTCACCTTCTCAGAGTGGCATCCCACTAGGCCTGAGAACAATTAGTTGAAAAACCCAATTATGGTGAGCAGATGGAGCAGGAACATACCTTGGCCAACTTGATGGCTTCGTTGAGCTTATCCAGAGCGCTCTGGAAGTAGATGACCTGCAGAGAGACCAGGAATTGGGGTGAGAGACTGGGAATTGGGGTGAGAGACCAGAAGAAGGTGCCCCTGCACCATCACCAGTCCCCGAGGGGCTTTCTGAGAGGACCCACAAACGCTTTGCAAAGAGGCAGGACATCCTTGGTGACACACTCGTGTCCCCAGGGCTGAAGGACGGGATGACACGGCTCTTGCTTACCCTTTCCCCAAACTTCTGCTGCTCCTCGGCCTGTTTTCCCATGTGCAGCTGCAAGAAAAGACACGTTGGGGGGTGTGAGAGCTCCTGAACCCCAGGGAGATCTTGGAAATGGGCAAGAAACCCCTCACAGAGAAGCCCAAACCGGGGTGGGAGCAAAGGGCAGGTCCCCCCATTGCAGCCAAGCAGCACCCCCCAAGTTGGTTTCCACACTTACATGGGCCACAGCAGCAAAATAGTAGATTTTCATTTGAACCAGTTTCTTCCAGTCCTTCTGGATCTTTCCCAGCAGCGAGGCCGTCTCCGAGTTCTCCAGCGCCCGACAGGCCTCTTTGTAGTAATCCACCACCTAGAGAGAGGGACAGGGGTTTGGAACCCCCCCAGAAATCACAGACAGGGACCCCTCCCACCAGCCCAAGTTGCTCCAAGCCCCCTCCAACCTGCCCTTGAACCCCTCCAGGGATGGGGCAGCCACAGCTCCTCTGGCCAACCTGGGCCAGGCTCTCACCACCCTCACACCAAACAAGTTCTTCCCCACATCTCAGCTCCATCTCCCCTCTTTCAGGGTCAAACCCTTCCCCCTCCTCCTAGGGCTCCCCTCCCTCATCCAGAGTCCCTCCCCAGCTTTCCTGGAGCCCCTTGAGGGACTGGAAGGGGCTCCAAGGTCTCCCTGGAGCCTTCTCTTCTCCAGGTCCTTCTCCTCTGGGCTGCTCTCCATCCACTCTCCACCCAGCCTGGATTTGTGCCTGGGATTGCCCCAACCCAGGTGGACCTGGCCTTGTTGAACCTTCTGAGGTTTGCACAGGGACACCTCTCCAAGTCCCTCTGGGTGGCATCCCCGTCCCTCTACAGTATCTCCCGCTCTCCTTTGAGGAGCTGCTGGTTGTGCTCACAGCCCCAGGTGACACCCCATAATACTGTGTGACCACACTGCCACCGTGCAGGATCCAGGACACCTTCCCCGAGGCCCCGACCCCACGTGTCACTCGGTGCAGGAGGAAGAGGGTTGTGCTGGGGACAGCAAGGCAGAAAGGGACAGAGTTGGGCGCAGCGGAGATGGCCCAGGAGCTCACCTGGGCGCTGATCCGGGCCACCAGGAAACTCTTCCTGTTGTCCAACATGGACTTCTCCAGGAGACACTCCTGTGCCTGGCCCTGCCGAAAAGAAGAGGGGAACAGTTGGGTTTTCCCTACACCTCAGGAAAAGCAGCTTCTCCTGAAGCACACAAGGAGCCATCCCAGTGTGACCAGTGCCCCGGCAGAGGGAGAACCCAGTTCCTACCAGCATGAGGTTGATGTTGAGGTTGAGGATCTGGTGGCTCATGTCGACGCTGTAGGAGTGGGGGAAGTGGTCCCGCAGGTAGGTGAAGGCCCCAGCAGCGCACTGGAAATGGGTGCAGGAAACCTTCATGCCCTGAGAGGAACGGGGAGAACAACATGGTGGGCCAGTCGAGGGGAACAGTTGGGTTTTCCCTACACCTCAGGAAAAGCAGCTTCTCCTGAAGCACACAAGGAGCCATCCCAGTGTGACCAGTGCCCCGGCAGAGGGAGAACCCAGTTCCTACCAGCATGAGGTTGATGTTGAGGTTGAGGATCTGGTGGCTCATGTCGACGCTGTAGGAGTGGGGGAAGTGGTCCCGCAGGTAGGTGAAGGCCCCAGCAGCGCACTGGAAATGGGTGCAGGAAACCTTCATGCCCTGAGAGGAACGGGGAGAACAACATGGTGGGCCAGTCCGTGGCCATGGGCACGTGTGGCCACCATGTTGGGCCAGTCCGTGACCATGGGCACGTGTGGCCGGACGTGAGGAATTCATGGAGACTCGGCCAAACCAGAGAAGCAGCCCCCTCCTTTCACGCATGATGGGCCAGTCTGTGGCCGTGGGCACGTGTGGCCGGACACGAGGAATTCGTGGAGACTTGGCCAGACCAGAGAAGCAGCACCCTCCTTTCACACGGGGGATTTAGGGTGATAAACCCCAGCTCAGGGGGGGTTAGATGTTCCCCATGCTGCTGGTGCCACAGGGGGATTTAGGGTGATAAACCCCAGCTCAGAGGGGGTTGGATGTTCCCCACGTTGCTGGTGCCACAAAAATGCTGGGAAGACACGGGGAGAGAGTTGGGGGGTTCAGCCTGGAGAAGAGAAGGCTCTGGGGAGACCTTGGAGCCCCTTCCAGTCCCTAAAGAAGGGGGGCTCCAGGAAAGCTGGGGAGGGACTCTGGATGAGGGAGGGGAGCCCTAGGAGGAGGGGGAAGGGTTTGACCCTGAAAAGAGGGGAGATGGAGCTGAGATGTGGGGAAGAACTTGTTTGGTGGGAGGGTGGTGGGAGATGCCCCATCCCTGGAGGGGTTCAAGGCCAGGTTGGACAGGGCTTGGAGCAACCTGGTCTAGTTGAAGATGTCCCTGTCCATGGCAGGGGGTAGGACTAAATGGCCTTTAAAGGTCCCTTCCAACCTGTTCTATGATTTTACGCCTCCTCCGAGACCCTAAAAAGCAGCCACCACAAGCCTGGTGTGAGATCCTGGGGCTCTAGACAGTTGGGTGTCTTCTCTTGACCATCCAAACCCCAAACTGTGTCAGATCTCTTCTCTCCTGGCCCTACATGTGGAGAGTGGGAGATCAGCCCAGCCACCAAACAGGCAGAGCCTCCCTGGAGAAGGGATGGCAACGACTGGGACAGGGAGGGACACAACCACGAGGAGGTGGCTCCTCATAACATTCCAGCAACACCGGGTCACAGCAGACATCTAGAGACACCTGTGACCACCCAGGTTATGGAGGAGAAGTCTTTGAGGCTACCAGCTTGTGGCTGTTGACCACGGGAGAAAGAAAAGGTGCTGAGGGATCGTTACCTCCTCGGAGACTCTCTTGTCCATGGCGCCCAGCATGGAGTGCAGCGCACCTGTGGGAAGAGGATGGCAACTCAGAGGGGAGGTGAGTCCACCCTGCCAGCCCCCCGCCGTGGCACCTCTCCTGGAGAATGGGTGTCTTCTACCAGAGAAGCCTAAATCTCCAGCAAGTTGGCCACCAGCAGCACCCAGGTGGCTCTCTGTGCCCTGTGGCACTCAGGATGCCCACCTCGCGGGCATTTCGGGGCTACCAAAACAAAACCACCCCACTCTGAGCTGTGATGGGGCACAGCTGGAGAGACAGGGAGGGGGGACAAGGGTTAGATTTGCTGCTTTTACACCCATTTGCTGTGGGATGAGCTGGACAAAGCCCGACGGTGGCTGTCACCATGCCAGAAAGGTGACACAACCTGATGTCAGCCTCCTCGGTGATGCCTGTGACCGAAACGCAGGACCAGGGTGAGCTCAGACCAGGAGGAAAAGAGAGGTGGCTTCTGACCAAAGCCAAAGTCAACCTCTGGGGCATCTCTGACTCTGAGCATCCACAGCCACGTAGAGCAGGGGAAGAGAGACAACTAGACCGAGCCACGGCCGCTGGTGGGACAAGGTGGGCCACCAGCCACGCCAAGGAAGGGTGACGTGGAGCAAAAGCCAGGCAAGAAGCAAGGACACCTCTCACATCCAGGGCAACAGGTCTCCCAGGCCCTCACCGAGGTTGTAGAGGATGCAGGCCTGCTCATACTTGATGTCCTCATGAGTCACCGTCTTGCCTGAGAAGATCTCAGTCCTGTGAGGACAGAGAGAAGGCTGGTTACGGGCTGTAGGTGGAGGTACTGGTGTTCCTGGCCACGGGTCACAGGCCAGGAAAAGGATTTGGTAGAAGACACGCTCCCTCAGGGGTTTGGAGAAGGGTCCCTCCTGCCTGGCATCATGCTGGGCATCGAATCAAGGCAGTGGGAGCTGGTGGGATGGTGTGTCTCCACGTGGTGGGCTTGTTTTGGCTTTGAAGGCACACAGATAAGCAACTCTGCCACCCCAGAGGATCTCAGCACCGTCCCCTTGCACGGTGACACCGGCCTGGCTTTGCCCTGTGTCTCCTCAGAGCCAACCGTGTTGCTTCATGGCTTGGCTTCGATGTTCTGCCAGATCCCCAGGGCAGGACACCATGTCCCAAGAGGTCCCCAAGACACCCCAGTGCCACCCAGGCAGAGCTGCTGGGCTTCGGAGAGGAGTGTATTGGACGCTGGTGAGGGACACACGCAGGGAAGAGGGAGCAGTCGCTCTATTTTGGCTCCACCTCCCAATTTGTGACCTCCCAGCACTTCAGGATCCACAACCTTCCAGCCCCAAGGCCCCAGCCCCACACCCAGGAGAGGGCACAGGGGGGAGAAGCTCCTCACCAGGCGATGGGGACTGCTGCCTCCTGCTCAGCACCCATGGGAATGCGGCTCTGCAGGTAGTGGAGTTGGCCAAAGTATTTCCGCAGCGTGCTGCAGCCCTCGAAGTCCCTGGGCACGTTGACGGCGCTCTGGAAAGGAGAGAGGAAGAGGAAGAGGATGCCCCGAGGACAGAACCACGCTGACGGGTGAGGTGCCAGGCAGGAAAAGAGTCTGCCTGGTTGGTGGTGAGATCCGTGGGCGTGAGGGGACGGCCAGAGCCGGGCACCGGGCGGTTTTCCAGGGATGAAGCGGCCCCTTCAAGGATTTATGGAAAACACCTGCATAAGGCAGCTGGAAAAACAGGTCTGTGCACCTAAAAATGAGGCTGGAGGGAGCTGCTTTATGGATCCAGAGCAACCGGTTCAGGGAGGAAAAGTCTCCGCTCTCCCCAGCGCAGGCTCCGGAGGGAGAAATAAACGGGAGGGAATTTGGGAGCAAAGGAAATGACCTGGAGAGGGCACGGGACCCGCTGCGACAGCAAAGCGGTGCTGGGAGAAAGAAGGGAAGAGTGGGAGACTCTGGAAAGGTTCCCCAAGCTCCTGATTCAGGGTTAAACCCATGGCCAAAGTTCCTCAGATCTTGGGCTGGGGGGTGTTTAAGCCCCCACCCGCCACCGCTGTGCTTTGGAGATGCTGGTGAGGTGACCTCAGTGCCAGTACCACCAGTTATTCCAGCTCCACCCTGCGGATCAGGCACCGGTTCCTGCTTGGGGAGAGTCTCTGACCATCTCCTGCCAGTTTTACCCCCCGTGTCTCAGCCCCGGGGCTGAGGCTGAAGGGAAGAGTGGGAGACTCTGGAAAGGTTCCCCAAGCTCCTGATTCAGGGTTAAACCCATGGCCAAAGTTCCTCAGATCTTGGGCTGGGGGGTGTTTAAGCCCCCACCCGCCACCGCTGTGCTTTGGAGATGCTGGTGAGGTGACCTCAGTGCCAGTACCACCAGTTATTCCAGCTCCACCCTGCGGATCAGGCACTGGTTCCTGCTTGGGGAGAGTCTCTGACCATCTCCTGCCAGTTTTACCCCCCGTGTCTCAGCCCCGGGGCTGAGGCTGCCTCCAACCTGCTCATCAGCCCCCCAAAATTGATGACCCCAGTGCCTAACACAAGCATCTGGACTCTGGAGGCAAGAGCAAAGGGCTGATTTATTCCCTGCAAAGACCTCAGGCACCCACCCAGGTGGACAAAGCGATTCCTTCCACCCAACAGGGAACTCGTATTCAACACAAAACCCCCCAAATTCAGGGAAGCAGATACAACAGAGCCCCAACACCCAACTCCAGCACGCTCCTTGGGGAGCCAGAATCATCTGGGGAGCCCAGGACGCAGCCCAGCTTGTCCATGGGCCACTGGTGAGGAAAAGGAGCAGCCCCAGCAGCGCTCAACCACAGCTCCCAGTCCGGGGAGCTCCCATTTCCCCCAGTTTGGCTCTGGGAGGTCACACCAGGGATGGGAGCGATTTGGGAGGGAGCCTGGCTTTACCTGCCGGAGCAGCTCCAGCTTCCGCAGCTCCTCGTTGTAGTTCTCGGGGTTCTCCCCATAGTTCTTCAGGACAAACTGGAGGAGGAAGAGAGGGGTGAGAGCCTGGCCCTGTCCTACACCCACCTTCCCAGTCCTGGAGCTACAACTGGAAAGCCCAGAAGAAGCCCCTGTGGCGGATCCGGCAGCACAAAGGGGCAGGTGTTGGCTCAGGGCCTTGCATCTCCTGGTTCAGAGGTTTTTTGCCCCCCCAAAACCCCCCAAACCTTGCCCAGCTCCTGCTGAACCTCAGCTTAAAGCAAGGCCAGGGCACAGGGAACTGCGGGGACAACGGCCAGTGGTCAGACACCGATCCGGCACGTGCCAGGAGCTGATGGGGATCTCGGAATTGGGGTGGAAAAGACGGAATCGAGCAGTGGTGAAGTCCTGAGGAATCACCAGCAAACGGGACAGACTGAAGTGAAGTCACTCTGGATTCATGACCGATACCCTTGGACAAAAGCAGAGCCCCTTGGTGACCATCAGAGGGTGAATGTCACACAAAAAGGAAACGAAACGGGGTAGTGCGTGGTGACACCAACAGCACAGCACCACGGCCCCTGCCGGAGGCTCCCGTCTCACCACGGAGAGGAGCTGGAGCCAGGGCTTGGCCAAAAATGCTCCGGCGTCCCTGAGAAAGGCCCTCGGTGACAGCTCTGAGGGAGCTGTAGGGACAGAGCTCCCCAAACCTGCATCTAGCGAGGGTTTGGGATCCCTCAGGTCCAAGCATAGCTCAGGATCCTCCAAAGGAATCTGGGCAGGGATTCATCCAACCTCCCCAGCAGCTGTAAGGGAGAGCTGGGGACCCACAGCCCCGCTCTGCCCCAGCTCAGGGAGACACCGGGGGCTTGATCCACCCCAGCAGCTGTCAGGCTGAGGTTGGGGACGTTTTGAGGGGCTGCCTGCACCCTCTGTGACCCCACAGCACCCCTGGCACCCCACCACCACCCTGGCAGGCAGGCACGGCAGGGCCGGAGCCACGCCAACGGCCGCCGCACCTTGTCCCGGCCGGCACCGCATGACTCAGCTCCATGATCCCTCAACACCTTCCTCCTGGCACAGGGAACGTCCCCGCCACCCTAACGCCACTGCCTGGGTCCCCCAGGACACCAGCACCCCAAAAAAACAGCGGGGCAGGAAGTGGGTAGTGACAGAAAGGCAGGAGAAACACACCCCCCCCCCCCCCCCCCCCCCCGGGGGGGGGGCCCCCCCCCCCCCTCCCCGCTGGCCCTTCATCCTCCTTCCACATCAATAAATCATGATTTTCATCCGTAGGCGGCACTAGAAAACACCAGGCACAGGTGGAGCTTGTTTACAGCTGCTTAATTAAGTCCTTCACCTCCCTTAAGCCATCAGCTGGGGCTCTGCTGGGGCAGCAAGGGCAGGTCATGTCCCCCCCGTGGCCTTCGGTGGCCACCGGTGAGGAAGGAGCCCATCACCTCGCGCCCACCGTACTCTCAGCCTTTTCCTGATGAAGGGATGGGAGCTTTTAATTGACCAACAGTCAGTCAGGCTGGGCTGCGGGCGGGGGGAGAACCAGCTCCCCCCTCCTCAATTCCCTCTTTTGAGAGGAAATGGGAAGCAAAGGAGACACAAGGGATCCTCCTAACGACACCCGTCACATGCGGTGGGGACGGACTTGCCAACTCACCGCTTGTCCCCGAGCTGGGGAAAGCTCTGCCCGGGATGGGGAAGGCCCCAGAGACTCCCCCCTCCCCAAATTCTGTCTCCCCCCGGCAGCTCCCGCAGACCCCGGCCGATGAGGAAGGTCCCACAGCCCAGAGGAAGCAGCAAAGCGAGTGGGGCCGAGCCATGGGTCACGACTCCCTGACCCACAGTATCCCCCACCCTTCCCCAGATATAACTCCCTGCCACACCAGGTCCCCCCAAAAATTTCTCATC